GGCATCCCAGGATATAGGGGTGATATAAGGCCAGGGATCCCAGGATATAGGGGTGATGGATGGGGGAGGATCCCAGGATATGGGGGTGATGGGTGGGGGAGGATCCCCGGATATGGCGGTGATACATGGCCAGGGATCCCAGGATACGGGGCTGATATAAGTCCAGGGATCCCAGGATATAGGGGCGATGGATGGCTGAGGCTCCTGGGATATAGGAGTGATATAAGACCAGGGATCCCTGGATATAGGGGTGACGGATGGTGGAGGGTCCCCGGATATGGGGGTGGTACATGGCCAGGGATCCCAGGACAGGGGGGTGATGGATGGCCGGGGATCCTGGGATGCAGGGGAAACTCCTGGCCAGGGATCCCACAATGTAGGGATGGGGCGTGTGGGGGATGCAGGGGTGACACGTGCCTGCGATCCTGGGATGCGGGGATGATGCGTCCCCCGGATTCTGGGATGCAGGGATGAGGTGTGCCTGGGATGCCAAGAGGCAGGGATGGTCTGTGCCCAGGATGCAGGGACAACACGTGCCCAGGATCCCGGGATGTAGGAACGATGTGTACCTGGGATGTCAGAATGCAGGGACGATGTCTGCCCAGGATCCTGGGATGCGGGGATGATGCGTACCTAGGATGCCAGGATGAAGGAATGAGGCTTACCTGGGATGCAGGGATGAAGTGTGTCCAGGATGCTGGGACAATGTGTGCCTGGGACCGCGGGACGCAGGGACGATGTGTGCCCAGGATGCAGGGATGATGTATGCCAGGGACGCATGGATCCTGGGACGATGTGTACCTGGGATGCCGGGCACCGGGCACCGCTTCTGCTCCGTGCTGCCACCAAATGCTGTCGTTAAGCTAAAGAAAACACCCGCCTCCTCCATCCCCTCTGCCCCTCACAGCCCCTCGGCCGGGGGTCCCGTCTGCTCCCCCCGGCCCTGCGGGACACCCCGGATCAAGGCCTGCACCCACGGGTGCCCGCGCCGGGTGGGGACCTCCGGGGAGGAGAAGCCGGAGGTGGGCACAGAGCTCTCCGCCCTCAGCGGTGCCACACTCCCCATCCGCTCCTGCGCAGAGTCCCGCCGTCACCGGCCGT